GGAAAAATGGACGTTGTGTTCTTGTGCGTTGCTTTTATGTTTGGATTATAGTGGGGAGGGCTTAAGTGTTTTTTAAAAATGCTTATTGGAAATGCGTGTATCTCTACCTCAAAATTGAAGAGGAGGAAATGGTTACATAATTAAAAAAAACCCCTACCTTAGAAAAATGTTGATGTATTGCACAGTCTGGATCATTTTGTAAAAAGAAAAACAAAAAAAAAAATAATTGTTTGATTGAATAAAGTCCTGAATTTTTCAAGTATAGCTTCACCTTGTGTGTCATATGCAGCTGCATACTGTGTCTGTTCTTGTACGGCAGTTATTGAAAGAAAAATTCAAGTAAGTGTGGCTTTTATTACTTGTTTGATTACTCATCAAATTTCTTAGTTTGGATTTTCTCTAGCATCCTTTGTTCCCTTACGGATGTTAGAAATCCCTTATGTGGGAAGGGACTTCAGGAGGTCTTTTGTCCAGCTTCCTACTTGAAATAGGGTTAACACTGAATTCAGGCCACGTTGCTCCAGGCTTTGTCCAGTCAAGTCTTGAAAACCCCTGTGGACTAGTCAGCAACTGAAATCTAGGTCTTCATGAGGCATCTGTCACTCTTCCTTCCCCCATTTTGTATATAATATAATGTATGTTGTACAAAAGGAAGGGTTTTTTGTTGTTTTTTTGTTGTTGTTGTTGTTTTTCCCAAGTAATGTCTTGGCTCTGTTCTTCTCCTCTGGCATTTTTCTGAAGGTTTTTATGCCCAAGATCCTGTAACCGTGCATCAGTGGCTCCCAAACTGATCCATGTGACTGTATTGTGGCCCCCAGCTAGTCTGTGGGTTGATATTACATATCGCTACATCATTTATATTGTCAGGTAGTATTTCATATAAAAGTTGAGTATGTGGTGCATTCATGATAATGTTTTTAAAAGCACAGCGTTTTGTTAAACATAAAATGTTTTCTTCCTGACCTTTCTTCCTTCCTACCTTTCTCTGCCTCCCTCAAAATAGTTTAACTGCAACAGTGCTGTGAGGATGGGAATACCTAATTAATTCCAGCATAATTATGTAATACTTTAATTAGTAATGATCAGAGAAGTTCACCCACAGCATTGTTCACAGCACAGGATCAGTAAAGGTAAGCCATCAAAACAGTGCAACGGTTTCAAGCCATCAATCCCACTATTCAGTTTTTGTATGTAGAAGCAACTTGAATCATGGGGGAAGAGGAGGTGGGGAGAGGAAGGTGAGGAAGAAGAGGGAATGTGTTCTGTCCGCCTCCAGCCTGGGTACAGATCTTTCACATGGTAGTGTCTGCACTTCAGGTTTCAGGGAGACGGCTCAGCCTTCTCTCTGGATTTAACTGCAGTCCGGGGAAGTTTAAAAGCGTTGTTCAAACTTGGTTTGTGTGGTGCTGATAGACAGATGATAATTATAACTGGAATAACGATCTCAGGAATATTATGAGCCGGTATAATGCACGCTCTTGTCTGCAGTGGGGAGCGTTTGTGGTGCTGGGCTGCGCTTGCTGGCGGCTGAACCTCCTGCTAGAGGGACCGGGGGTGCTGCAGGTAGAAAGCACTCGCTATCGTAGCTTCTGCTGCCGAGAACAGAGAGGTGCTTCCAAGAGTTTATTTTTCCAAGAGCTCCAAGAGCCTGTCAGCGTGCAGATGTAGCAACTCTCTCTTATGTTTTGTTAACCAATTGCTAAATCTGTCACTATACACGTGCAAATTTTTTTTTTATTATGTGCAAGGAGTATTCTAGCAGAATTGGTGACTGACCTTTTTCAGTCTTTTCTTTCAGTAGTGTACTGAAGCTGTTTCTTTGTTCTAGTTTATCTGGGAATAATTTTTTAACATTTTAGGTGTATCATAAACTATGAGTACCTTCATAACAATGTTATTTAGATTTTAGATGTTATTTATAATGCTCAAACTTTTGTTTCTATTATTATTAGCCCTGACTTTTGCAACCATACTCACTCTTTACCCATCTTTCCCCCCTTCCTCCCAGAAAGCAGCTGCTATGAGTCCACTGCTGCTGATAGCAAATTCTTCAACTTTACTGTTTTCGCCCCCAAAAAGCCCAACAAGTTGGTTGTTTCAAGTACAGTTCAAAATTGGTGGGCAGGGGGGTGTGTGGAGTAAAAAGGGTATTGGGTAAGTATGATAGCTGGACGTAGGCTTACTACCGTAATCACCCTTGCCTGGTTATTATATATTGTTCATGTCCTTACGCCTAGGCACTAGACCATCCCAGTAGTTCCTTGCCATGTCTGGTATTAAGCGCTTTTTCTGTGCGCATTGTGACAGTTACCAGTGTATGCGACGTTCAGGCTACTGATAAAATAAGCGTTCCTTTTTAGTGTTAGCACTTAAAAGGTTTTAAAAAAACTTTGGAAAAGATTTAGAGACAAGCAGGCTTACAACAGCAGAGTGCAGCGCATGAAGCGCTTAGCTTACAAGAAGGCTGGGTGTATTCCGAATTAGATGTAGGCAGGCAGGGGATGATTTTTCTGCTTTAGGTCTTTAGATTTCGATGGGTGGTTTGGCTTTCTTGTACCTTCAGTTTTCAAGTCGCAATCAAACGACTTGTCATCTTTAGAGAGGTTGTAGAAAAGCTCTTTGTCTAGTTAAAATCAAAGGCAGTATGTCCAGTGTCCAAGACCTATTAGATCAACTTTTGGCATTTCGTACTATTTTATATACTCTACAATGTGTAAATCTCTCAGAGGAGAGAAAACAGAAATATTTTTCTTGTCCTGGGAAGGCACAGGCTAGCCAAACCAATATCCAGGACTGAAACTGGAAAGGGAGGTAAGTAAACAAAAATTGGACAGAAGTTCACGACCAGGCTGCTAATGCTGTTCTGAACACCAGCTGGAGGAGCAAACGCAGCAACCTGAACAAATTTGAACAGCTCTGCAGGCTTTGAAATAACTGGAAGCTTTTTGGATTAAGAGTGGATACCAGTTTAAAAGTGATGCTACCACATTAGGGATTTTAGGGAGAAATAAATCTTTGGCATTTGGTTTCTGTTAGGTGTAAGGTCATGTTCTCCAGTCGTAATAGCTGCATTGGTCCTTCCAAGTAGGGAAATTTGGGGGGAAAGAGGGCTTAAAATGGCATGCTTTAGCTGTACACCTTTAATGGGGCTCCCAGCGCGCCAGGGATGAGAGGAGGGAAGCAAGAAAGGCAGAAACGAGTTGGTCAGGCACTGCCGCAGTTACGTGCAGTTAGGTACAGTTGCGTGACTGCATCTGAAAGGGTTAAAGCCAAGACGGACAAAGCCACTGCACCAAAATGCCTCCTGAAAGACTTAAAGCCTAGGGGCAAGGAGGATATTTTAAATATCTTAGTCACTTAACTAAACAGAAGAAAGGCCTTTGTGATTTAGAGAGTCCTTAGACAACTGGGCCTTGGGAGGACAAACAGCAGGGGAGATAGGAAAGCTGCCAGGGGATGGCAACAGCCTTGAAGGTCGCGGTCCCAGAACTGAAGCAACGGTCAGTCAGCGAACACAGCGAAGCCGCCCACGCGCCTCCATCTGAAGGCCCCGACGACCACCCAACGACCACCAAGGCAGACGGCTGCGCGCGCGGATCGCACATGTGCATATGTTCCTAAGTTCCAGGAAATCTCATGTTTATGTCAATGAATTCTGGGAAACTCTGTGAATATGTACGACTTCACAGTAGATAATCCCTGAAAGTCTACCAGACCGGGGGAGCGCTCATGGTGGAGAATCCTCAGCGCTGCAAAAAAGGATACCAGCTTCATGGGAGCTTCGTGGCTATCGAGTTTCGTTTCAGGGACTCTCTGGATTTTCCGTTTCTCCTCTGGGGAGATTCGGACTGGGAGGAGAAGCGTCCGCGAGTTTTTGTATCACGTCATTATTTGCGTGTCCGTTAACTTGCACCCAGGGGAACGAAAACGCCGCCGCGGGTGCAGGCGCCCCGACGCGCACCCCCGCGGGGGCGGGGCTTGCCCCGCGCATGCTCACTGCCCGAGCCCGCGCGCTTCCCGGCGCGCGCCCTGCCCTCCCCGCGGCGGATGTGAGGTACCGGATGATGTTGCCTGACGACAGCCGGGCGCGCACGTGAAGCGACTGGGCAGCGATGGAGAGCGGGCCCTGGGAGGAGGCGGGGGCGGCTGTGGGGCCCGGGGCGGCTGTGGGGAGGGTTGCAGGAGGGGAAAGGCCTGCGGGAAGGAGGAAAACGGAGCGCTGCCGGCTTTGTAGTGGTGGCAAGAGAGCCCTTACTCAGTCGGTAACTGAAAGGAACCGCGGTGACCGGCTGGCGTTGAACTGAAGTACTTCTGTACGCTTGAAGGAGCAATCTGCACCTGCAGTTGGAAGTACCTGTGTGGGGCTGTTTGTTTGTTTGTTTTTAAAAAGAAAATAAATATAATGCTTCACGGAGAAGATAGTAAAAGCTTTACGTTCATCTAGTAGAGAAAGTAGGTCTTAAGCCATCTAGTTATTCATTTATAGAAGCTCCCCGCCCCTGCTGAGGCTGGTGCATTTCACCTAAACCCTGCACGGTGCTGCTCTCTGGTGCGTGCCAACGCGTATGGCGTACTTGAGCTTTTCTTTTGAATGCCACCGATGGTCTTTGAGGAACTTTGTTTTCTTCTCATGGGCGAGTCTCTGACTCGGGGAGGGGGCTGGTGTGAGGGGAAGCTTTCAGCCTGTCAGTAGTCTGTGGGAATTGTGGTATAGCTTAAGCTCTAAATTAGCAGAAACTGAAAAGCCCAAGACTGGGTAAGATCACCTTTGCTAGCTTGGGGGGGCAGAGAGGAAGAGGAGTGGCAGTAAAACGCACTCATCTGAGACTGGGCTTTTAGCATTGATTGTAGTTCTGCAGGTTGGGATTAGTTTGAGTCACTGAAACAAGTTACTTGAACACAGCTTGTTCCAATTCTTGGGTTTTTTACTGTTTTCTGTGGTGTCGGCTGTTGTTACTAATATTAAGTTTTAAACTGTTAATTTATTGTTACAGAAAGCCTAAAACTAAGAGAGCAAAAAGATTTCTTGAGAAGAGAGAACCCAAACTTAAAGAAAATACAAAAAATGCTATGCTCATAAAAGGAGGAAATGCAAACTTAACAGTGACTGAAGTGCTTAAAGACATTGTAAGTTGTTGGACGTAGTATGCAGCCTTTAATTATATAAGCTTTTGTGCTACACCAAGAGTACCTTCCTTTCTCTTTTTCTTACAGTTTGCATGTTCTCTGCTGCAAGATCAATATTTTCATGCTCTCCCTATTCCCCAAGTCTCAGATTGACCAGTACTCCAAAGGTGTCATTACCTGCCCCTCGATGGAGATTATTTTCTTCCAGTTTCTTCTTTGCCAGAAGTTTTAAGCTTATTCTCTTCATTATTTTTTCCACACTTGCCCAGTATATAAGTTGAAATGTTGCAAGTCCATTTGAAAACAAGAGGATTAGGTACAGAATTGGGACTGGATCACTCAGCTGAAGTTATATTGCAGAATCCTGTAAACTGCTTGTGTGTATTGATATGGAGCTTTCAACCTCTCCTAAAACTTAAACATACCAATCCTGTTTCCTAACTCCATACCTGAAAATATTATAGCTGTTGCTACACTCTTTGTTGTTTTCTTACCATCTTATGCCGATGATAATCAGGTGGTTGTTCACTGCCTGGTTTTCCTCATGCCCCTAGAAGCAGAGATTTCATTACATGGCTTTGATTTCAGCTGTTTCTCAGTTACTTTGTTATTTCTTAGCTTCTAGAAATAAGTCCTTCTGCAATTAATTTGGAACCAAGATTAGTACTACTAACTTGAAGAGTATTATTGTGAGCAGAGCTTTTGAAGTGACTTCTTTTCTAGACTGATTTGCACAAACAATTACTCTATATCATGTGATCTTGTAAGTTGTAGGGTTTTAGAAAAAGCAGTGCTGTGTACTTAAATGTATTAGAGATAAGACGTGTTTAACTTTGTCTTTCGCAGTATGCTGTGAAGAAGCCTTTTGCTGTACTGTATAAAAAGTAAGTGGTCTCACTTTGATATCTTTGAGTCTTCTGCCAAGACAGCTTTTGGTAATTTCAAAGCATGAATAGAGATGCTGGCTAGTGTGGGGGCTTGCAGAAGGGGTGAGATTCATCGTAAATTTCACTAGGCTGGAAACAAGCTACGCGTCATCAGTGATGGTGCTGAGCCCAGTTCTGTGCCTACTGTTACAGAGCAGGATTCAGCAAACCTGAACAGTTGGCTTCTCTGACTGATCTGTGCAAACAGCTAGTGAGGTTCTGTGTCCGGTGGGTAGGCTGGAGTTCTTATATCTGAATTCTTATAAATTTGAGTTACAGATTATAACGATAGATATGTCTTGCTCAAAATGGGAACCCAGTATCTGTATGGTGTAGTGCAAATTTAACATTTTGGATGAACAAGGAAAGGCAGGAGTTTATGAAGTGTCACTGGTGGTGGTCTGGAAGTCAGGCTCCAGGAGACAGGAAACGTGGAGGAAAGTACTTAAAATGGCAACTGCGGCACTAAGGAACTCTTGGCAGTATTAATATGGCTCATGGTTTGAACTAAAACTGAACCTCTACTGCTGGAGTTTCCAGTAGAATGCAGAATTTTAATGTTATCAGAGAACTAATTAGAAGTGCTTATCTGGGCTTGTTCTTTTGTTTTTTCTTAATCTTTTTCTTTTTTTCTTCCCCCCCCAGGAAAAATATTACTAGGCCTTTTGAGGATCAAACATCATTGGTAAGTATAAACCATGTCTTCTCTGGTGACATTTTACAGCCTTCGAGTCATGAAGAACTTTATCGGAGGACAATTTGCTGTTGCTCTGTGAGGAAGTAGATGAGAAACAAAGTTTATAGGGAGTTTGGATAAGTTGAAGGTAGGGCTATGTCTAGATTTGTGGTGTCAGTAGGGATATTTTTCTTCTGGCTGCAAGACAGAATTGTCATATTGTGAGGACTTTGTCTTTGCCTTAAATGCATGTTTCTGTAAACTGAAAGGCAAATGTAGGAGTCTGTAGCGCTATTATAAGTAACAGTGCTTGATATGAAAGGAAGAATAAATCGTTTTATTTTGATTTTCTAAAAGTCAGTCCTCTAAAGTGCCATAGCTTATGAACAACTTGTTTTCAATTTAGTGAATTCATAGGTTAAAATAGTTAAATGGAGGGGTCATAGCTTTCTGTGACTTCCTCATGTTTGAATAGAGGAAGAAAAGCCCAACAGAGTACCACATGCATCAGCTGTGCAAGTGTGAGATGGTCGCTGAGAGTTCTGTTCCAACATTCAGTCAAGAACTGCCAGAAGAATGTGCAATTTCAGTTAGATATCTGTATTTGGCCTGCAAAAGGGTTGCAAAAGTGGCTCTTCAGAGGCTTGGAGGGTATTTTGGAAGGGTGTGTGTATTTGGAAATAGATGTGGTGATATGCCTTTGTCTGGATTTGGTGTTGATTCAAGGTTTTAAGGTCAAGGTAATTTATGAGCAGGAAGGCAAAAAATAGAGGGGCTAATCCTAAGATTATATCGCACATATCTGTACTTCAATTGAAGGATTACTTTAACTGCTGAAATATGTCTGTCATCAAAGCAGTGTATGTATTTCCTTCAACAAAATGAGAGAAAGGAGATAGTGATGTACAGCTGTGGTTTTACAATAAAGACAAAAATTATTTATCCCAAAATAAGTTGTGTGGTTCCCACTGATCATGATTTGGTAATGTTTGCTCTGTGCCACTGCTGACTCACATAGGGAAATAAAGGTCAGCTTTCCAATGCGCGAGGCAGTTGTTGAAATAACTCACTGAAAATGCACACTGAAGTTGGGAATTTGGGGGTATTGTATTAAATAAGTCTGTGCGTGAAGAAAAAAAAAAACAATATATACCCAGTGGGCACAAATGCACTTACTTGTCTGAAGAGGATTGTGAAAATAAAGGGGAAACATGTCTAAGGAATTCTCTGTAAATAAAAAGGGAGAGGAGGGGAGAGAGCTAAGGATCCTTAGTGATCACTAAGGATCCTTTTTAAAAAAGTGAAGGTAGCCAATAGTCAGTGCTAGAGGAGTTGCTGAAGTTTTATTGGACAGTTGAGTTAAAGCATTTTTAATGTGTCAGGAACAAAAAGTCATTGCAGTTGCAGCATAGATACACCAACATAAAAAGTTACTTAATCTGCATTAATACCGATGCTGAGGTGCTGTAGGATGTGCTTCTGTTCTGTTCTTGGCATGAAGCACAGTAATGCAGCCATCCCTAAAATATTATGAGTGGTATGGAAAACTTACTGTAGGCAGCAAGGAAGGATTTGCAACATTATTTGCTGAAACTAAATCTCTTACAATCCCATGGCTGGGTGACTTGGTTTCACAGGCATGTAGGAACTAGCTCATCATCAGCTGACCACTGGTTTAAACTTCCGATCATATCTGGGAAAACATGGCAGCTAAAATCATTCTGAAATTTTAAACGGGAGTCCTTCAGGGAACTTTAATTCTTGTAACATCAAAACAATGGGGTTGGGTCATTGAGAACAGTGTCAACAAATAATCAGAGCCTAGAAAGCTATGGAAAGTCTAATCAAGTTGGTTTTTTTTTAACTTGGTTACAGGCATTTTTTTAAAAGGGCAATTTTGCAATGTATGTGATGTTGCAGTATATGCAGGACACTTCTGAGGCATTTGAGATTTGTTGCATCTTTTTAATAAAATATCATACAGCTGTTGGAGAATTTACATATATCAACACGCAGTGATTAACAGAGCTGTATGAGCACGTGTTTCAAGTGGATGGTTCTGTTCTTGATCTGTCTACAGTCGGTTTTTTTCAGGGACCTGATGGCAGAGCTCAGTGCTGAGCTGTGTGATTTGTATGTGCAGTTAATCCAGCCTAGGATTGCTCCTGGGCGTGTCTCTCCTGACCTTCCAGAGGGGCAGAGCTGCAAAGTCCTCTCTGAGCTGCTGCTGTTGCAGGGGTGGGAGGAGGTGCAGTGTTGTTTTATGCTTCACAACTGCTAAGTGCAGGTATGGAAACTGGTACTTCTGGGAAGTACTGGATAAATAGCCTGTGCGTATATCTGGGAACTATGGTTGATACACAGAATGAGGGGCTACCTTGAGAAGCAGCCGTGCATAAAAAGGCTTTGGAGTTGGACATCCTCGGGAAGAATTGCTGTAATGTTCGCTCTGGACATAATACTTTAATAGATTCTCGTATCTGCTCCACCTGGAGAAAAGATCTTCTCTGTGGTAGTCACCACTGGCTTGGTTTTAACTAGCATCTTAGTCTTAAATAATGAATTGATGTGAAGTTGCTCTGTAGTAGGACTCTCATGCCCAAGTGTGAGAACATTAGATATTTGCAGATGTGCCTAGGCTTGCTGTTGAGGCAGTTAACTGGTGGTTCAGAAGCTGTTAGGCAAAGCTAGTAATATGCTGCATGAAGCTTAGCTGGGTAACTAAAATGAGGAATTACAACTGCAGCCAACTTGCAAATACTTACTCTTCAGGCAAGGAGAAATGGTTGAAGGTATCTTATGTAAAAACAGATAATGAGGAATTATGAAAAAGGCCATTACAGATAAAATGGCAAGAAAAAAATTGCCTGGCTTGATTTTTAAGACTGCAACGGGAAATAAAAAAAGAAATGAATTGTTGTTTGAACCTTGAATCTGGCTATCAATTTTAGCTTATGTGGACCTGGACATGCTCAAAACTCTTCTGGTAAATGCAGTTGCTCTTCTCATTAAGCTTCTCCTAAACTCATGTGTTTGTGACGTGTACCTTCACCAAATACTTGAAACACTACAAACTGGAACTTATGAGGTTTTTTTCTTTTCCTCGACTGTAGGAATTTTTTTCCAAGAAATCAGATTGTTCTTTGTTTCTGTTTGGCTCTCATAACAAGAAGCGACCTAACAACCTGATAATAGGTAATATGTCTTATTTGGGTTTGTATTCGAATGAAAAGTCTAGTTTTCAATGAATATTTAAGTAGCTGGATTTTCTTTTTTCACTTTCACAGGTCGCATGTTTGACTATCATGTCCTAGACATGATTGAGCTAGGCGTTGAGAAGTTTGTATCCCTAAAAGATGTTAAGGTAAGGAATTGCTAATTCAGTATTTCAGTGACATCTGCTGGTGGATTTTTTCGGTGCACTGGCTTTTTCTGTGCTCTGAAGTAAGGACAGGAGTTGTTTAAAAAAGCGTTTCATGTGGCATATGAGGATTGCTAATTTGTGTACCCCAGAATGTTATTTTTATGCTCTGCTTTTTGTTTAATTTTGGTTGTTTTGAGCAAGCTTGCAACTTTCTTTGCAAATTATTTTTTTTAGGCTTGGTTTATTGCTAATGTTTTCCTTTTTAATTAAAGAGGTACAGTTACAAAATTCCTTAGTCAGGTCCTGCTCATGGTAGGTTCCTACATAAACTGGTGTAGGCTTTGAAAACTGAAATCCTTTTTCTCAAACTGTAACCAAAGAGGGTCATTCTGCTGACCGAGATGATTCTGAAATTTTCTTTAACTTTCAGTAGCACGTAAATGCCAGTTTTCAGGGAACTATACTTAATTCAGATAGGGATTTAACATCCTGATTACTTAAACCCAGAAAAAATTCACCTTTTATGGCTATGTTAGGCTCATTTTGGCAAGACTAAAACATATTTCATATGTGTGTACTTTTGTATCAAGCAGTTCATACACTGCAAAAATAAGGAGGTTTTATGGTCTTTATTCTCATCACAGTCTATAAATTGGCAGGACAGTCTAGAGGGATCGTGAACAAATGACAGTTTATAAAGGTGAATCTTCCCCTTGAAGTCAGATTGTAGTGTGTATCTTCATAACACTGTTTATAGCAGGGAACTTATAGTTAAGTAAATGTATTTGTTGGCCAGAATTAAAATTAGGTGATTGGCTAAACTATTCTTTTAGCCTTTTTCGTGTATTCTCCAGTGTCAGAAGTACAATAGACTTGTTTGCCTCTAATTTTACTTTTCTTGTTAGTAGTTGCAGTCAGATTCACTTGTTTTCACCAGAAGGTGTTATCTTACACATTTTTTTATCATCTCTTTTTTTTAATCCAGCACAAAGGATAATACAGTTCACCCTTTTAAAAACAAAGACCTTCCATACACATACAGTGTTGTTCAATGAAAAAAAAAGTGTCTATTCTGTCCATATTGATCACAGGTCAGAACAATTTTTTGTTCAGTGTCAAATGGCTAACCACCTATTAAGTCAATAATATGTTCCCTAATACAGTCTGAATTTTTGTTCTGTTTTAAAATTCCTTATTCTGCAGAACAGTAAATGTCCTGAAGGAACAAAACCTATGTTGATATTTGCTGGTGACATGTTTGATGTAAATGAAGAATACAGAAGACTGAAGAGCCTTCTTATTGGTCAGTATTTTGATTATTTGCCCAGTAGGATTGCATAAATCTGTAGTAATACGATCTGTTGGGAAATGCTGGTTTGTCAATAAATGTTTGTTTATGGTCAGCACAGAAAGAATACAAGAACAGGCACTTCCAAGTATCACATCACGTGAAATCAAAGTTAACTAATCGTCATGACTGTTGGGGGGGGGAAAAAATAGCCTAAAAGACTCTGAAGTTGAAACTTTCTGTTCACTAAAATTCATGACTTTATGGGAAAATGCTGGCATTTTTCAAAAAGTCTTTACCTTGTAATTGTACTGGATCATCACCTTTCTAACTAAATAATATTTTTGAAGTATCTAATTTTAAATCAGTGGATTAAGCTCAGAAAGTGGGATATTTTTGCTTACAAAAAAGTCAAATCAGTATAATTGAGCTTGTGTTTTTATAATGAAAGCATTTTCTGTTGGAAATTTGACCAATTCTAACAAAAGTGCCATTGATCAGAGTACTTGGAAAGAACATGTGCAGTAAAAACCAGCTGTAGATAATAGCCGTGTCATAACTTCAAGGCAGGCTTGGAGCTTAGTAAACAAACTGGCATAAATTTTTTTACTATCTCAAGGTTGGAGGCTCTGGAAGATAAAGCACATTGTGTTGTTTTTTTTTTTTTCTGGGGAACTACAAAGAATGATTATACTTTTCTTAGGGTAGCTTTTCGGGACATAGAAGTCATATGGTACTGTATCTCTTGACACTTAAAAAATGCATCTTGTTTGGTGGAACTAGATCTAGTAAGTAGGGTGGTGTGTTTTTTTCTTTTTAATAGGTTTCCTAAAAATAGAATATTTTTTTTTTAAGCTCTGGTAAAATAGTGAAACTGGCCCAATAAGAACAGTCTTGTTCTTTCAGTTCCATTCTTGGGTTGTACCAACTCATAATCTTACAGCTTTGCAAGATCTCCCTTTCATATAAAATTAATATTGATTGGGCTCTTTTTTCCTAGGCAGACAGACAAGTGATTGCTCTTTAGAAACAGACCTTAAAAATGAGATCCCAAATGAGACTGAAAAGGGAGCAGGAGAGGAGAAAATTTGCATCCTCTCAATATAGCTGACTGGTTCTTGGGGATAGATGAAAGGCTAGTAACTGTGCTTATAAACCTTTGAAGGTGGGTGAATATTGAACACGAAGATAAGCGAGTTTTAATACTGCATGTTTGTGTCACTCTAAATGAATATTTACACTGCAGGAAGCAGGTGCATTATTTTCTGTAGTGTATCTTGTTCAGGCATCTGCACAATGTTGATGATTGGCATCCAGATGTGCTCATGCACCCCATGATCAAACAGCTTGATACCTTAAATGGAAGACATGCGTCGTTAGATAGTTGCCAAATAACTAACTAGTCTTTCCTGTCCTATTTCTTTTGATGCTCATCTGTCCTTTCTCCTCTCCTATTTATTTGCCTTTAATGACTCTGCAGTCAAATGTACTCAAATCGACACACAATCTTTCTTCTTGAATGTACTCCAAGTACTCCAGGTCTTAATGTTCTGCTGACTTCTACGAAATACCTGAATGCAAAACAACAGACAAAGGAAAAGGAGTGTAAAGGCTCGAAGGTATCACTAACCAATTAAAATCATTTGGGTAATAATTTGACCTACTTCAAAAATGCCCTTAACTGATAGGGAGGAACTGATTCTTTCTGTTCCTGCAACGGATAGTGCTTGTAAGCTGCCACTCTATTGCTAAGAAAGATAGAAAAATGTCTTTATAACAACTGCAAATATTTTGGTACTGTAGCAGTATTGTTGGGATCGCAGAGAGAATATGAGATAGCTAGCAGCTTCTTCTTGCCAAAGCAACGTGATGCTGGTGAACAACCAAGCTTTCATTGGTTTTTGTGCTATCAAAAGGGTTTATGCATGTTTGGAGTATCATTTTATGGCAGTTTCTTTGTAAAATTAAAGGCAAGGGTGAATTCTTGTCTTCATGGTAACCAAACCCTATCATCTGCTTAAACCGTGAAGTGGAAGAAGTTATATAGGAGAAATAAATGGCAGCTGCATTTTTCTTTAGAGACCTGGAAGACAAAGACATCCCATTCTTTCTCTTTTGGTTTTCATTGCCTACTGATGTGGTAGTGTAGGAATTCATTCACAATATAAGTCCTTCGAATGCAGTTCATGAACTTCTATTAACCTTTTATGCTTGTATTTATAAAATGTTTCACCTCTTAAAATGCTACCTGCTTGCTAGTTCTGTTACTGCATACCCATTTCATTCTAAAAATGGCTAGGCACTACGCAACTCGCTTATACACTTTCTAAAATGTTGGTTTCCAGGAGACCTCTACAATTTTGGGTTGAGCATCAGCTTGTTCTTCATACAGCCTTCCTCACACAGACTTTTTTGAGTGTCTCAAAAGATTTGTGGGTTCCTTCTGGCGAAGAAAGGGGATGGCTGGGAAATGCTTGGGATATAGTTTGAACTCCGCTGATGCTAACCATAGCTACGTAGGTTACAGTGTTACCAGCTTTCGATACAGATTGATACAAAAAGGAGTGTATAGACTCATGTTCCAAAATAATTCAGGAATTTAATCTGGAAATGGAAAGGTCCTGTGAAGCTCTCTGCAGGAAAAAGTAAATTAGAAGTTCTGGAAACATGTTGAGGACAAGGGGGAGAAAGAACTAGGAATGGAAAGTAAGGAGAAAGCAAGTCTCTAGTCCAACCCAAGCAAGAGTTGTAAATTAAGAGTACATTAAAAAAACCTTCAGCTCTCTGGGTATAGTGAAGTGTAAGGTTTCTGCAGCTGTTCAGCATTGCCAGGAAACAGAAATTCCTGACCACCTGCATTTGTTGGAAGAGATCATCCTGTGGGTAAAACGATGTATGATGCCACAGGAAACTAGGAAAGGGAGGTGTTGCCAATCAAACCACTGCAAATGTAAGCTTGTGTACCTGCAGAGAACTAGTCGAAGGGAGAATATATGCCAGAAGCTAACAAAGTGTTTTATTTGCAACTTTTCCTCTAACTACAAGCTCAACCCACAAGAGGAGGGGAGTATTTAATTGACCAAGGAAATTTCCTGGCTAGCTTCCAGCTGATATTTGCCAGCAAGACTTTGTTTTGGATGTCACTCCAGTGCTGATACTCTTGAAAAAGGTAGTGGAGGAAAAGACAACTAGCCGAGGGATCTGAAAATGGGACAGAATGGAAAAGACTGATGTGTTTTGCATCTGTTAGCAGTTCTGCTATGTGTCAGCATTGCCCTCTCATGTTTATTAGCACACCTTGTTCCTTCAGTCAAGGTCACATTCTTTCTCCACCCTCTGCATATGTTGGACAGATTGCTGTGCTTATTGCAAGCTCGGTGATTGCACAGTATTTTTTTTCATAGCCTGATACAGGAACCTCACTAGAGACGGCTCATTTTGTATTTAACCTGTATTTCAGCGTTGTCTTTGCAAACTAAGCAAGTATTTAAAGCGTCTTGTTTTTATAGTTACGTGTTGCTTATTAAATAGAGAAAACATTAATTGTAATGATGAGTACTGCTTTACCTAAAGGACAGAAGTGCTTTGTGGTGGGGGAGGTATGAATCTAACTTTTTCCCCAAGTCAATGAGAGAAAATGTAAGTAAGAGTAGACAAGATACAGTTTTGATCTGTTTTGTGCTGGTTTTGATCCTTCTTCGTACTTGTCCAAATCTGGCTCTAATTAAGAATCTTAAGTATCAGTTTGTTGAATGGTGTCTTTAAACAGATATCTGAACTAATGGCTTCTCTGTGTCCATCTATGTTTAGCTGAGCATGAACTGGCCTAAACACAAAATAAGATATGTTTCATTTTTCTGACTTTAGACCTGAATCTTTAGAAGAATAGACAATGCAATTATCCCAGTTAGCTTAATAAAACTAAGTTACTGCTCTGAAAGTATATTTTCTCTTCTCCATGCACTTATTTTTAGGTAGTGGGTATATTGGTACCAGATTACCTCTGGGAAGTCACTATGTTCCTGTCAGAATTTCTATGCACGTTTGGTTTCACCAGCACAGGAGCTAACACCTGTAATGTTAAGTTTCTCCCCTGTGTTTTGGCCGGGCTGAAGTTTTAAGTAGCGGCTATTGTGTGAGATTCCTATTAAACACATGGTTTCGGATTTTCTAGAGCCATCCCGTGTATAGCCTTGCTTAGTTTAGATGCAATAAAAGTATCTAGGTAGGCAAGGAGTTCACATCAGTGATGTGATGTGGGTCCATTATGAAAAAAATGATTTGTTACAGCTGTCTGTTGGTTTGGTTTTCAGCCAAGAAACCTGGCATTTATTCTTTTAAAATATTCTTTCAGATTTCTTCAGAGGTCCTAGCGTGCCCAGTATCCGTCTGGCTGGTTTAGAGTATGTTTTGCATTTCACAGCTGTAGATGGGAAAATTTACATGCGAAGCTATAAGTGAGTATGTGTTTTATCTATTTGTTTGCTTTTTGGTACACTTGTCAACTTTTCCCCAAATTTAGCCCATAGTTGTGTCATTGAACTGACCTGAGCAATAGTTTGTTGCATTTAAAACATGTAATGTGTAGAAGTGTTCCAGCATAACACAGTAACTTGTAGAGCAGAAGGAGAACACTTAAGCCCTAAACCTGCTGCTTCCTTCCTTGTTGAGCTCCCCCTTCTAGCTAGGAGGACTGCTCTTTCGTATGGTTGGATTAGTAGGGTGGTGTGAATTAACTTGGTGAAGTCAGAGTACAGTCTTAGACTTCATAGACTTAGTCTGTTCTCAGGCTGATTTCTAGGACTCTCCTCACTTAGGTGTTCGTCAGAGAATGTCAGGTGGTGGGCTGCAGCCAGCGATACACAAGGAAAAACAGGAAAAGGCAGGACGAGACAATCTTTCTTGCTGCATTGGTGTTCACCCTCACAGTTCATGGCCTTGCCTTAGCAGGCTGTGAGCATTCATAGCTTGTGTTCCATGTGATTTTGATTTCTCTTGTAACAAAACCACTTTTATCAGTCTCATTCTTCAAAACAAGCAAAGAAAGAACTTTCTTGGTTAGTGCTCAGATTATTTTGCTGTAAATGACAGTAAATATTTTTCATGTCCATTAATACCCAGGGCACTATTTTGAATTTGAGGAGTGATACGGCTTTCAGGGTACTGGGACAGAGTTTAACAGTAATACTGGTAATACTAGTCTCATTTACAAAAAAAAAAAAAAAAAAAAAGTTGTTACTGTAGCCAGGTTATATTTTGGATGTGTTCAAATCGTGATGGAACAGATTTAATATAGTATAAACTGTTATTGACAGACATCTTTCTCAATAATAGAGTTAGCAGTAGCAATTGTTTTTAATAGTCTTCCTAAAGGGCAGGTTCAATCCTGTAGTTCGGAAGACAGATGAATCTTTATCACAGAGGACAATGTTGATTTTTGTTTGTTTTTCCCGTCTAGGGTGCTTCTGAAGAAATCTGGCTGTAAAATACCAAGAATTGAACTGGAAGAGATGGGACCTTCCTTAGACCTCGTTATGAGGAGGACACATTTAGCTTCAGATGACCTTTATAAGCTATCTTTAAAACAACCAAAAGCCCTGAAGGTATGTACCTTGGAAAGTATATTACTTCCAGATCTATATGTGAAGAAGAGCAGAAGCTGAAGTATTAATTATTGTATGTTTGACCAAAGCTTACTTTTACATAGGCCAACTGATATTTCTGGGGCCATAGCGCTTTTGTGGTGATCAGCTGGCATACAAACTCTCCTCTGGTAGCATATAAGAGCAGAACAAATCTTAATCTCTAAGCTCCAAATAATGTATGCAGCCTTGCTTTTAGGCACTTGATTTGGTAGTTTAATTACTGGTGAACATGGTGATGGTAAGGCCAGATACCTGGCTTCTCACCAGAGCTCCTGGCCCTCTCTACTCAGAAACACTAATGTCCTTCTTCACTTACAGCCTAAGAAGAAAAAGAATATCTCCCATGATGTGTTTGGTACAACTTACGGTCGAATCCACATGCAGAAGCAAGATCTTAGTAAACTGCAGACGCGAAAAATGAAAGGGTTAAAAAAGAGGCCAGCAGAGAAGTCAGCTGAAGATGGTGGGGTTAGTCCCAAAAAGTCAAAATCAGCTTGATAGTCTGGAACAGCTTTGAAAACTCTTTGTACCTTCAAAGATAGTATATATATTGTAATATAACTGTGTCAGGCATAAAAGATTCAGCAGCTGTTAGTTTTATATAAAAATCTTTTTAATCATTGGTTATTTTAAAGGGAACATGGGGGTATTGAGCTTTAACATGGAACTTGGTTATTTAAAATAAAAAATGTGATATAACTTGCTTAGTTTTCCGAAGCTGAGTATTTATTCTCTTGGTGTTAGCAAACATACGCTAGTCGAGCAGGTGACTCATTTCCCAGCTTTATGGCTGTTATGTTGGGAACCCTTGATCAATCAACTCATCTTGCAAATTCTGCACAAGACCAGAGTAGTGTACATGCGTAACATATGCAACACAATTTCTCTGTTCATTTATTATGTATTTCAGTTTTTGCACAACTCAATAAACTATAAACCATTTTCTGAAGTGTGAACTCACAATATGTGCCTGATGCCGGATTATGTTTTTGACTATGGCACCAAGCCCTACGTTACACTTGCAGACATCAGGAGCGATTAAGGTGTTTTTACTGTGTTCATCACCATGGTAGCAAAGTACCTGATGTTTGCTATAGGCATAAATGAAACCTTTACTGTTTGAATTTCAATCATTGATGCTTGATTTGTGCTGAGAATGGAAGCACGTGAAGCAACCATGAAAGGGGCAAGTCTTTTCTGCTTACCCTGCTTTCCTTCTAAGTTTGTGCTCACGAGTTAGTGAAGACTCAATTAAAAACTTGGGTAAAGGGATGAGAGTTTAAGAGCTTAGCGAGACTTTGGTGCGGTGTTCTATGGTTTGGAACATAGTGAAAAGCCTTGCTTTTATTCTTCTGCTTGTCTCTTTGGAAGCTATTACTCTGCCCTTTAGCATAATTACGATTAAACTGTACACACTTTGTCATCAACACAGCAAGCGTGCTCATCCTGGTTATGTTGGTAATACTTTTATCTTTTCTTGTTAGTTTTCTCAGTGTAATCAGCTGAAGTGTCACATCGGGAATAGGCGGTTTGTTATTTTTACATGTCTTCTGCATCCTGGATGGAAGCAGTTGGGCAGCTTTGCTCTCCTTGTGCGAGAGCTGAGCTGTAACTGTGGCTGTGCAAATGCCACACGTTACGTTCTTGCTGTACTGGTTTGATAAAACTTGTAGTGTGAAAAAGAAAGGGCTTTAAAAGTTTGGGATCTTTTTGAGGGCACAAACTTATTTATCTTCAATCTATTACCTGTTGGGGTTTTTTTTTTTTGTACCATTAGACAAAATAAATTGCATGGCTCTCTCCAAATCCTTTTCTCCCATCTATAACTATGTCTTTGAGAAATTGATAATTCCATAAACTACTTCAGATTTGTATTTCCCACCATATCTTTCTGAAATACAAATCACTACGCTTTTGACTGAAAGCCATGTTTGGTAATAGCTGTAGAAGAATTGTACTAATGGGCATGCTGTCTTTTATGGACCTGTAGTCAAACGTATAGTCGTAAAAGATTGCACGTCGTGTTTTCCTGATTTGGAATCTAATTTTGGTGCTTAATTTGGTGTTTAAAAACTTAATTTCATGAAAGTAACGTAGACTATCTAACAACCTGATGCTAAAAGCGAGGCGGCTCTGCGGTAGCAGTCCTCAGAGACAGCCTGTTGCCTCCTGGCGTTGGTTGGGTTTCATGCTGCTGCTGGGTTTGCTCCTCGTGTGAAGAGGAAGCTCGGACGGTCAAGGGCTACTACGCCTGCTGGCTTCAGCCTGACGGCGTCTTTAGCCCCTGCGGTTCACGCAGCTTCAGGGAGATGCAAAGTCCTCGAGCGCAGGAAACTGGTCCGTGGGGAGAGCCGCGGTGCATTTGTTCACCCTTTGCGGGGTCTTTCGTCTCCGCTGGCTTGAGGTGGAACCTGAAGTGCCTGATGTCCCACACCTGTGGCCGTGCGTGTGAGTACTCTTTTGTTCTTACTGTTTGTACTTGTCAAATACAGCCACGTGGTCCAAAATGCGTCGGATATGTGAGGCAAGGAGAAATTCACCTGGATATAGTGTAAGGATATTTAGGCTATGCTTCTTCATACTAATCGTTTTAAAGTTGTGTTGTTAGCACAGATTAAAATTTGCTCCATTTCTAATAAATACTTTGTACTACTCAAAGTGGTGCCATTTTGGTGCAAAGTCTGAGTGGGAAGTGGAAGTGCTGTCTTGTTTTTCTCGTGGCAGAAATGACCCGCTCTGATCTCCGTATGATGAGATAGGGTGAAGCCAAATTAGCAACTGAGTTCACCCCATTTCTTTCAGAGAAGTTTCAGCCTTACTGTGAAGCAGTGAGTAAGCCACAGGACTGGTTGGTGTGATTTCAGATGCACGGCATGTACAACTAACTGCACCTCTGCATGGTAGGGAATTGCTACATTCTGAGTATCTGATTTAACTCAAGGTGAATGGAGATAGGAGGGCTAAATATAACCTTTCTAGTGGCATGTTCTTATTTCCCAGGGTCTTTTAAAGTGTGAGGAAATTTGTCAGGTGCTGCAGTGTAGCTGTGTGCATGGGGAACAGAACATGCGGTGCTCAAAGGGCAGCAGATGAAAAGGGCTTGGCTCGCCTCAATTGCCCCTTGCTTCCAGAGTTCACCAGGCTCTGAAAACACATAAACATGGCTCCAGGGTCTGCGTGGCACAGGCAAGGCGTAACTGGCGAGTTCACCCCTTTCCTCTGGCTTTCATCATCTTCCCTCCCAACGCACTGGCAATCGCTTTATTTACGGGTTGAGCGTAGTAATACATTTGGTTTCAAGAAAATCCCTGTGGGCAAAGCGTGGCTCCTGAGGCCGTACCTGTGTGGTAAAATGGAGGTGGAGTTGCGAATCAGCAGTCAAGCTCGCGCTGCCTTGAGTCTAGCTGGCGGGATGGCAGCAGCAGGGAGGGTGCGATTTGTGCCTTCTGCGGCCCCTGGGTTTGTATGCTGATGTTGCCCAGCTGTGCTGCCGGCATCTTCATTGCTGCTGTTAACTAGGCTACTGCCATTATAGATAACTAAGGATACGCATAGAATTTGTAGTCTACCTGCATTATAAGTTTACTTGGCTCTTTTTATGTGTGGTGTAATCAAAAAAAGTAGGAAAAGAGGTAGATATTGTTGAGTGGCGTGACGTGCTATGTTCTTGGGATTCTCACATTTTTGGGAATCAGTCCTGGGGACGTGTGATCACGGCCTTTTAGCTCTGTGCTAGTATAATGTGACAGACTGAGCACTGAGAGCAATGAGTGGTGTGTGTTTGAAAAGAGCGTACGAACTCCGTTCTGTTTCCTGGATTTTGTGGGTTTGAGTTTATCTCTACAGTTCCTTAGCAACCTTATTTATTTTCACTAAGTGCTTTCTGGGTTTGACTGTGAGGGTTTCCCTCCCCCACTGGCTTCGGCGCAGCTGGTGGAGCTGGGGAGGGTTAAAAAGAGCGCGAAGGGAGGACAGTTAAACATCGCAGACGTGCCAGGTATCCCACTGACCGCTGCATCCCCCAGCCAGAGGGGAAAAAGGCTGCTCGTTGCTTATTCCATATGCTATCAAATATAAGGGGGGTAAGGAGACTAGAGCAGAACCGTGTTAGAGACATTTTCAATATTAAAGAGAGGGAAGTGGAAATCATTAGCCGTGCATAATATATATAACAGCCATACATATTACATATTAACATGTGTATTACGTGTGGCGCAGATAGTTCTCCCGTCTCCAGTGCAATTTCTCTCCTCCTTTTGGACTTTGCTAAAGTGCCTCTAGCAGTGCTGACACATCCCAGATGCAATCCAGAGATACGGCTGAGGAATAGCTCGGTCGTATCAGAAGTCAGGTTTCCTAAAAACATACAAGGAAAAGAGACACGAGGCTCCTGAATGCAAAGCCTGTGTAGGACTGCCTTCCTAAATGGAAGAATGCTCAAAATGAATATGGCTAACCTGGCACAGGAGGAATAGCTTTGCTCTCAGGCGTTTATGCAGGAGATAGTGAGGAGGAGCTGGAAACGACATTTGGGGAGGACGTGGGGTTTCTGAGGGACCTACCTGAGAAGGTTGGGAATCGATTAGCTCAGATACCATGGTAGGGTGGAGGGACCTCAGTGCTGTGTGGGCAAAGAAAAGACGACTGGCACTGGGAGAGGAAAAATTTATAGGTAGCCCGGGATTAAGCCCTATCCTAAGTAACACAGGAATCATCTACTCAGAGCAATCTGTGAATGCAATAGGTGCATGCTGATTGAGAAAGGTCTAAGGCATCTGTTCCTTTTTCTTTCTTATTTTCTTTGACTTCAGTCATATTCTGTCTACTTGATCTCTCCCCCCCCGCCCCCCCATTTCTCTAAGATAAGCACAAAGTAGTTCAGGGGAAGTAGAGGTAAAGTTTTGAACAGAACTTAACAGAAAACATGTGTGCTTAATGACTTCCCCCCAAATTCTCATCATGTTCCCTCTTTCCCCCTTGGTAATCCCATAGTCTTTCCTGTGATGTAACGCAACACCTATAAAGCCTGGATTTCTCACTCCTTCCGTGATACCGAAGTACGGCCACGTGGCCCTAACAACTGTCCTCTGTTTTGATTGCTGCGATTTTCTCCTCCTGACTTCCTTCACTCTGACAGCCTCCAAACCAAACCAGGCACAGCTGCAGTGACCCGTTTCCTCGTGTTTGGCCAGATCATCTCTCTGTGCTGGCAAAAGGTCAGTTCTTGCCCATTAGTGCTCATGGTGATTGTTAAATTAATCTCTTTCTGTTCCGCTAGTGGTCATAATATTGGTCTTCCTCGTCTTTCTCAGTTATCTGCTGTATACTCTGCACTGACCGTTATTTGCTGAATTCCCTGTTCAGTTGACCACTGTAACAAGGCACTTACTGACAGTGTCTGGACACACTGAAACAAGGAATCAAGAGCCACGTTCAGCGTCGGGAGTCAAACTCCAAAGCTAGAAGTCAGGAGCAAGAATCAAAAGAGGGACCGGGATGAAGAGGTGTCCTGTCAACCACAGCATTAGGCACGTCAGGCAGGCAGGGAAATCTGCAGGAAAAGTCTAACCAGGCCTGTTTCTCTGGTTGTTACCTAAGAGGGAGAATGTGAGCAAGAGCACTGACCCGTTGGTGCCGGGGGAAGGGATGCCAAGCTTTGCTCAGCAAACTCGGAAGGAGATCCTTGGTTGATTATCCCCTGCCAGGGGGTTACGTACATTTACCTTGGGCTACATTGCCTGCAAAGATCTGAGCAATGCATAATAAACTGGATTTTTTACATACGCAGTGCTGCAATGCAAAGTAAGATGCATTTAAAATCTATCTTTATCTCCCTCTTTCCTGACATTAACATGTACTCCATGGCGAAGGCAGCGCTCAGCACACGTGCAGTGAAAGGGCCTTCACTTAGGACCGAGGTGCTGCCGCTATTTCTCCCCTTTTTAAATCTGCAAAATTAAACCATTGATTGCTGCTGCTGGCCTCTAGGCAGGAGAGTTACTAGTGCTGCTTTATGCTCTGGAATTATTGCTGCAACGGTGACTATCTATGTTAGCCGTAGATAGGCATGCTGGGGCCTAACATCAGCTGTTGCCAAAAGATAGTTTAAAAGCTTCTTCCCTCCCTGCCTGTTTTTCAGATAAAGGTGTATTCCTTGTACTAAGTCAGGGTTTCTGTTTTCCTAATCTAAAGAAGTCCACAAGTAACATCTTTTCAGTTTTGGTTGCGAGTTGCTAATGTCTTTCTCCAGTGGAAATTGAGCTCCTTGGCTCAGAAGTTGCCCTCTCCTCTGGGGGAAGGTGAGGAAGGGAATGCAGAAATGAGGGGGAAGAAAAGATTCAGGCAAAATGTCTCCTCTCTCTCCTGTTGTGGCATGCTCTTGCGTGTGACAGAAACCAATCCCAATGCAACAAAGCAACGTAAGGTATTTCACAGTATAAATTCACACCAAACATCTCTAAGCAAAGCTGAGCTCTCCTGGTTCTCATGAGCAAACAGCTCTTCGGCGTGCGTCACTGCCAAAAGATGGGCAGTCACATCTGGAAGTTTGTATTGGGATGGTTTGCTGCAAAAAGTGCAATGCAGAACTTGCATTCACCTCATCACAGTCATTTAACCTTTTTAATTGAAAACAGATTATTATGAAGAATTAATGAGACCCTCTGAAGTGCACATGCAGCATGCCAATAAACAGTAATAAGCTTTTAATTCAGAAGAAGTGACAGATTTCAGCTCCTGTTGGCTTACTTTGCACACGGGGATAATTCCTTGCTCATTAGGGCTATTTGAATGAAATATTAGGCAGGCTTTATTTTTTATGTTGTGAAAAGAAATCTGTAGGAGCTTTTTTTTTTCTTCTTCTTTCTTCTCCTTTCTTCTTCTTTCTTCTCTGGACATACCTGAGATACCTAGGGGCTTCTGTGATATTGTAGGCAAACAGCTGCTCAACTCAAGTGCGCTCTGTAGTTGATGAGCGAGGGGTTTCTGTTTGCATCCCAGATGCTCATCTCTTCAGGGCTGAGCAGAAAGGCTCACTTGAAGAAAGATTCAAAGACCTGGTAACTGCTGAGCATTTCCTTCTTGCTTTCCTTCCAGAGAGAGAGGGATACCCACCCTTCCTGCCGTTAGCCTCCTCCAGTTTCTCAAAGGCAGCAGGTCATACATAATGATATCTCTTAAAAAACCCCAAACCGCAAACCCAACGCTTCATAGATAACACCATCTGGGGAGTTCAGCAGCAGTGCTGACGTAAGGAGTTACGAAGGTGCAGCTGTTTGTGGGACTGGCAACCAGATCGGGGAATTAAACTGGCTTTAAAGGGGGGGGGGGGGGGAAGGGGAGGGCTCTTTGTCTTGAAGCTAGATCAGTTCCCCGATCTGGCTCACAGCACAGTTGGGTGGTGCGCTGCGGCACTGGGGAGGAAGCAAAAGACTCGGAACGTGATGGGAGACGTGAGGGAGCTCCTGCCGCTTCTATAATAATACAGATATTACTATATACAGTATAACATATTACTATATATAATATGTAATATGTATAACGTATTATGATAACACTACAGATATTACTATTACAGTCATATCTGTAAGACGGTGCCTGAGTTTGAGAATTACTATGGTTCTGAGTCTGTTCTTAAGGAAACCAATGGTTTTTGGGACCTGCGCTTGCCAGTAAGCTCCATCACAACTTTCCCCGTGAAGATCACTTTTAACACCGTTTTACAGATGTGACAGCAAAGGTTAACTGACTTTTTCAGAAGGGATTTGCTTTAGGAACAAAGGTAAAATGTGGAAGTTGTGAGTTCCCCGTCCCTGTTGGTGGTTCCCCTGTACCTTCCTGGGGCCGGAGCGTGTGCTGCCTGCGCCGTGGCGCAGCTGCAGCAGCTGCCAACGGCGCTTGGCCGGAAAGAAGTTGACCTAAGTGGAACCCACGCACAATTTGTGATTTTCTTTGCAAAGAAAACCCCTCAGAGGTTTTGAGGTTTATCAACAAAGACCAACGCTACCCAGCCCTGGTCAGTAGTAAGAGAGATGCTAGTTCATCTGTGTGCCTTTTAGCAAAACACAAAGAAATCTCTTCAGATTGGTTTTAAGGCAACCTTCAAAATAATAATCAGGAAACTTCTCCTTTCCATCAGGAGTAACCTTCTGACAAAACTCCTTATGTGGCTTCTGTTTTAGCTGGAAGGATTTTCTCCACTCTGAAGATTTTTCAGCATACTTCTTTTCCCTCTAATACTATGGAGCTATGGTGATGAATAAGACTTTGAGCTGCGATGAATAAGACTTTTTGAGCTGCGTTGAACGCTTTTGCTTAATGAACTTGGATAAAAGATTCGGTTGTGCTTGTTCTAGTCTGAGCATGATCAGAAATACTGCATGATGGTGTGTTATGTTTGGAAAGCTAACACTGCATCTTAGCATGAGCCTCAAAGCTTTTGAAGACAGATTTAGTTATTTTCTCCAGTTATGAAAAATATTTTAAATTTTATTTAAATTCCATTAGACCTGTGTTGCTGTTTTCAGGAGGTAATAGCTGATTAGGTTCTCAGTTACTTTTCTTTCAATTCCTGGAAGGAAATCTATTCTGTGGCTTACGTGGTAAAGTGACTGAAGAGTTTAAGTGCGTATAGACAAAGCTGTTCCCCGTTAAGGAAAAAGTATAGTTAAAGGAATATTATGAGAAAGGGAAAAGTGAAATGCTTTTTCAGCATGTGGGCTGCATAGGACATGATAAATCTACCCTAAGGATGGTCTCATGCATGAGATTCTGTCAAAGATAAATCTTGTTCCTTTAGAGACTCATGCTTGTGGCAGGAGATTTATGCTACCTGACTGGTATGCCTGGAGGAAAAGATGTATTAAATGCTAGCAGAGAAGAAGGAAAAAATTTGTCAAAAATTTGTGGTTTATTAAAACGGTGCCAGCATTTGGTCAGAGCCAGCTACACTAGACTCGTAATGGATTCTGGGAGCTGAGTTTACAGGAAAGTTTTGTTGTTCTATTAAAAAGTAGAACAGAATGAACTTTTCAACCTGGTAGGTAAAAAGCTAGTTTCCATGGCCCTAACTCTGTCAGCAAATCAAAGGAGTGTTAAGAAAGAACAGGCAAACTGTTAAGACATGGCATTAGCAGACGTGTTTTGTCACAGCAAAAGCCAGATGACTGAAATCAGAAACTTTCTGGTCTTCCAAGTCCCCTCGTGGGCATTGAACTAGACATCTGACTTGGAAGACAGGAAAAGGAGAGATAAGAACTTATATGATACTTAGTCATATCTGCAAAACCAATTTTGAAACCTGTATGAAAAGTGGTTTTTGCAGGGGAGAAAGAATCATCAATTATAAAATTAAAGTTGCAGCAGGATCTTTAAGACCTTTTCCCGTATGGCACACAGAGAAAGCTGTCCCTGTGTCCCCCCCCCCTGCTGTATGGGTCGCCATAAGTGCATTGCAGTATAAAGTGACATATCATTGCTACCTAAGGATCATGAATCATGTTCCATTTGTAAAAGGTCTTAGGCCCCATTGACTTGTTTAAAAAAAACCCCAAAACACAACTTCCCAAATTCATATTTACTTGACACAGTCTGTTTTATAGCAGACTTGTTGGAGAGGTTTGTCTTAAATCTTATTCTATTCTTATCCAAATCACAGTCCAACCTTCAAGAAGAACAAGTTTTGAATGCTTACAATTATTTATTTATTGCAGGACAGTAATACCCAGGTTCCTCCGAGAAGGATCCCAGAACCCCGTTGTGCTAGGCACAGTAAAAAACACAGTGTACAGACAAAGTCCTCACCAAGATACTGAAGTAGCACATGGCTCTTCAGAGATTGAACATGGCTTTCCCACATTGCAGTCACTTCTCCTTAAAAAAACAAAAACCAAGGTGCCTTAAGATTTTATTCTTCGAGGGCTCCTGTTTACTTGCAATCACACATTGCAGAAGAGTGTTGGACACCGTCTGCCCTGAAGAACCCTGTTATTGCTGCTGAGTAAAATTCAAGGGAAACCCTTAATGAGAACAAGCATTCCTGTTTCTTTGTTTGGAGAATCATTATTCCTCTTTTGTATTTTGTACTTGCCAAGAAGTACTTGTGTGATTAAAGTGGTTTGTTGTTTTAGGTCAATAGTTTGGGTGTGGGATACGAGGATTGCTGGATCCAGCTTCCATGGACCAGAAAATCGAAGTGAGCTCACTGCCGCCCTGGCTTCCTGCAGGAGAGATCTTAGCGGGATCACTAGGGATTAGCAGTTGTGTGAATAAAGATATCTGCGAGACGAACGTTTGTAAGTGACACGAACCTGCCTTTTCCAGACAAACACACTGGTGTTTCGTAGTCAGTCTATGGTGTGGAACAAGCTGTTAGGGAAACGGAATTTTTGGGAATTGCAATATTTGCAAACCTTGTGTTCTTCCAAATCAGAATGAAAAGACAAAACTTCCCATTGAATGAAAACTCTGGGGATAGGAGAAAGTTGATTTGTGACCACGGAAACATTTCGTACCTTTATATTCAGTCTAACATGCTGATAACGCAAACATCAATGCTAACATTTTGTAGGCTGAAGAAAAAGAAATTCAGTTAATTGGAAGCACACTGCTTTACTCTGACATTTTTACTTCTACCCATTTCAAATTTTCACCTGTGTCACAACACCAAAAGAACAACCACCCTCAATTCACATCAAGAGTTCTTTTCATCTGAGGGGACATGAGCTAGAGAGCGACTTTTCCAAAGGTAAGACTCGTCCCTTACGTGATGGATGGGTTGCCCGTGCAATTTCCCCAGACAAGCGAAAATAAGCTGCAACATCTGTGGTAGCAAGGAACTGCATTTGTGCTTCACCCTGGAAGTTTAAGGTAAGTATAAGTGTCCTGTTCTAGGTGCTTTGGGAAAGAACATGAGGATAGGGAGAAGCTCAACGGAGCTTTATTTCAATACATCTCCCATTGTTTCTTACTATAAGGATGCCTCAGTTTATAAAGTTCTTCAGCTGGAAATAATCTCCAGTTTGTTGTGTTTTGCTGTTACTGCATCTTTCTCTCATGACTTCCTATTGGTTTGTTAAGTACATAATTTTGGCATCTTAAACACTCTGTATTGATTAGTTCCATAATTCAGCTTTGTTGAGTGAAGTAGTAATTATTGGGGTAAAGTTGAGGCCTGATATTCTTGGATCTCCCTTAGGTCTTTTATTTGAGAGTTAGCAGATAAACATTTCCCTTCACCTCTTTCATGCCACTCGTGATTTCACAGGCCTCAGTTTCCTTACCGATTTCTTTCCCAAGATGAAGAGTCCTGATCAATTTAAATGCTTTTCACCTAGAAGCTGTATCATGTTGCTAATTTGCCCTCTTTGCACTTTTTCGAGCTCAGTTATGTTCTTTCTGAGAACAGAATTGTGTGTAGTATCAAAGGTATTGTTGCATGACTAATTCTGACATGGGCAACACTTTCTTTTTGATTTTCTATTCTTAATAATGATTACTGTTCTATGTGCCTGTTAAATATTATTTCGGGAGCTATTGCTGCCAGAGGAGGAGCCAAAACACGTCCAAGATCTCTCTTCTGTAATGAACCTTCTAATGATAATAACATACTAGAGACCATTATTTTATGTACCTAGAGAAGGTTTTTTTCACATTTATGTTTCTCAGTATTGAATTTAACCTGCTATTTTGCTTCCCAGTTACTGGCTATATTCAAATTCTTCCACACCTTGTAGTTTGATAACACAACGACATGACAAAGTGGTGCTGCTGATGTTGGATAAGTCGGTGTTGTAAAGATGAGTGCCCCTTGCAAAGATATCCAGCAGACTCTTCTGTGAAAGCCATTTTAATGCCAGTCAAATGAATTTCAGTGTTGGTATGTGCAAGTGATGAACAAACCTAACATCAGCTTTAAAAAAAATGATGTGTTCTGAGCTAACCATTGCTATTTGGGAATGAGACCTCACGTCTCATGAAAAAGTCACTCTGATACTCACAGCCAAAAAACCAAATCAAATGTTAAGAATTAGTATGGGAGGAGGAAAATAGAGTACAAACATTTGCTGTTGTATAAATTCAAAGTGTGCCCATACCCTGCCTGCTGGGTGCAGTTCAGCAATCCCTGTCCCCCACCTTGAAAAGAGCTATAACAGAACTAGTTTTAGAGATTTGGATAGACTAGAAAGCTGGGCAACTGCCAGCCGTATGAAATTTAACGAGAGCAAGTGCCGGATTCTCCACCTGGGACGGGGTAATCCTAGTTATACATGCAAATTGGGTGACGAGAGGCTGGAGAGCAGCCCCACAGAAAGAGATCTGGGGGCAAGAGGTGTGCCCTGTGGGCTGGGGCCTCTTGGGCTAGGAAGGTCGGGGATGGGAAAG